GTAATTATTGTCTTTTGTAGAATCACTTAAAGCTTTTTGTGTATAGTTAACAAAAGTTTTAATGTGCCCTATTATACTATATTTTAAGTTTTACTTTGAGAGTAAAGATAGTAGATAGTCATATCAGTGAAAATTTAATTTATCCTATTGATTTTGCAAGACTGGAGGTTAGCTGGTTGATCTACAGTTTTAATCTAGCACCCTTGAACCTATGGGAATCCTAGTGCTTTTGGTTTTATTAGCCAGGAGGCAACCAAGCCCATAGGTTTGTGCCACAGAGCCACTGTGAACCATTTGAGATTGCCAATCTTATTTTAACTTTTATCCTCTAGTTAGTGGCAAGCAAATTAGCATTTTCTTTTAACACAATAGTGTCAATATTGTCTTGAGTAGGAATTTATCCGATATTTTGGTTAGCATTTTATTTTTACTTATTTTAAGTGTGCTTTTTTTTTTTTTTTTTTTTTCAATAAAGGGATACTAGAGCTGGGAGATAGCTCAGTGGCCTAAGCACTTTCCTGGCAAGAGTGAGGACCCAGATTTGATTCCTGGTACCACATGCCATGCCAGCTCCAGAACCGGGTGTGGTGGAGCTGTAATCCCAGTACTAGGGAGGTGGAGACTGGAAGATTACTACGAGTTTGGGCTATGTAGCAAGACCCTGTACCAAATACATGAATAAATAAAAAAAGATTAAAGAAATGGGATACTAGTTGGCTGAGTTTTTCATAGTAAATATCAGTCAAATATTTTTAACTCAGATATAAAAATTGATAGTTATCTACCTGTCATCATGGAAGGTTTAGGAATTTTGGAAATTTTAGGATTTTAGGAGTAAAACTGGTTATCTATAAGCTGATGATTATCTCTGATTGAAGTCTTAGGAGTTTACAGGGTTTTAGAAGTAAAAGTACTTATCTATAAACTAATGTTTCTCTCTCTCTCTCTCTCTCTCTCTCTCTCTCTCTCTCTCTCTCTCTCTCTCTCTCTGTCTCCCTCCCTCCCTCCTTCCCTCTTGGTATTGGGAATCTGATTTGGGATGTCGTGCTTGCCAGGAAGGCCAGGTGCCACTGAGCTATATCCTCAGCATAAGGGTTATCTCTTATCTTGGGAATTCTAGGAATTTTAGGAGTTTAGGAGATTTTAGTTCAGGATCTCAATGCTTTTATAATTGAGTATTACTGTGACTAGAGAAAAAAACATATGACCTTCATACTGTCCAGTGAGAGAGATTAGACCCGGTAGCAAGGTTTAAGATTGGTGCTGAACCTTGAGCTGTTTTACAAAATTTCTACGTTTTGTTTAATCTCTCCCTGCTAGATGGTATTTTTACCGTGGTAGCCCAGATGTACTAGAATTGGGCAATTGTTTACAAACTTCTCATATATGCTTGCTCAAGTTTTTGGAAAATTGTTGGGTCAAGTCAAGGAAGACATTAGTTTTCTCATTGGAAAATAGTGTAAGGGTTAAGAAAAAAATGAACTTTTTGATTTTGATTTTAGATGGTAATCAGTCTTGTTATGTATGGCCATAAATTACAGGTACAGATGGAAACTGTTGACAGGTGTGGGTGTACTGTTTGAACCCTCCCTTTATGTATTTAGCCTAGTTTTTAATTATATATGGATATAGATATAGATATAGATATATAGATATTATTTCAATTATTTTGGGGATGTTTAAGCCTAGGTTAAAGTAAGATTTGTATTAAATGAAAAATATATAGTTATTAAGATTAAGCTCCATAGGCATTATTATTGGAGCCATGGGTAAAGATTCTTAATAATTTAATTTAATTTTTTTAACCAGTTATGTTATTTGCCAGGATTGATCATGGTTTTTGTCTGACTACCTGACTCTCTTTGAAGGCACAGGGACATTTATTTTATTTTTTATTTTAGTAAACTTCTTCCAAGCACAGTGTCTGCTTGTTGACTTTCATCTTTCAAGGTCCAACAGTCTCCCTGCTGGTGAGGGCTGGTGACTCACTGGAGGTATAGAATATTTGAACGAGGTCTCTTCACATCTCGGAAGCCTTTGTTGAGCTTGGAGCGTATTGGCTATCTTCTTAGCCCAATTATGTTCTTTAGATTTAGTCTCTGAGCCATAGTTGTTGAACACTAAGGAGCTCATTTACAATAGTATTGAAGTTGGAGAGGTATATTTAACTGTTATAATCTCGTTTGGATATTGAACACTTCAAAATATACAGAATGGCCAAAGAACTGCTAATTTTATCAAACATGCTTGTCTTAGAAGTGAAATTTTTGTACAATGTTTATAGAAAAAGGGAAATTTGTTAAATCAAATTTAAAATAAAGAATAAACAACATCTTAGCTTACCTATTATGATGACATTATTATACTAGAACTATTAGGTTTTTGTTATTGTCCTTGAAATATAGTTAAATTTTTATGTCAGTGTAAAATACCTTTAATTCATCATCTTTATCTTATTATAAAATATTAAATGACATAAAGACATTTTTACCTGAATTTTTTTAACAAAATGCTTTTTTTAAGTGGAATGTACTTCTTTATGGATATACTTGATAGCTTACTAAAGTCTAGTTTTTAATCATTGAAATGATTATAATGAAACTATATCAACTGTATAATATTTAGGCAGTCTAAATATCATAATAGGATTATATAACAATATAATACATGTGAAAAGTTCATTGTCATACACAACTTTTAGAGGTCATTAGTAGAATGATATTTTTAGGGCTGGAGAGATGGCTCAGTGGTCTAAAGCACCTACTTAGAACAAGCTTAGCAAAGCA